TTGTTCTGCCAATACACTCAGTATTGTGTAAAAATTCTGGGATTTTTCTGTGTCTTATGGGGTAGTCAAGAGGAGACCCTGGAATTGTGGAACTTGGGGTCAAACTAAATAAATGCCAGGACCATTCTTCTATTAATAGGCATGTCGGTAAGGATTGCAACTCCAGGCCATGCCGTCCAAGTCCTGCGCTCAAATTCTCTCTCCCTGTTTCACAAGTCCTGCTCATTACTGCTAGAGGTCATGCCAACACGATTTGGCATTCAGTTTTGCAATTAGCAAATAAAAATAGGCTTGTACTCTCTGACACTCCACACATGATACTGATGCATTCAGGACTGCGTTACTCTCCTACCAAGATGAACCAGCATTTTAAAGCGTGGCATACGTTTTGAATCTTTTGAAGAGGAGAAGAGTTACAAAGCTCATTATTTTGAAATGTGTTTAGCCATTTTTCCTTTTTTTTGTTTGCAAAACTGGGGGGTGCACAGTTTAAACAAACAGCTATTGTACAATTAAACATTGATTAAAGAAAAGAGTTCCATTTAAATTATTAAGTGGTGAGATAAAAAGCATCTCCTCTCTTTTGTATGCTACTTTATTCAGAAGTCAAACTTCTGTAGTCTCACAGAATGCTAATGAATAGCATAATAATGCACAAGGGCAAGAGGGGGCTGATTAATTAAAAACAGAGGCCAGAAATCAAAGGGCTTGAAATATACTTACAAAAATAATTCAATTATGTATTATAAGCCTACAACAATCAAGACACATCTCCCAGTTCCATTCATGGTTGTGCCCCAGTTCCATATCCAAACGGGTTTGCTTGTATACAGGCAACACTAGTTGGGACTTTCGTGTGTAATGCTTCGAATAAAAAGACAAGAACAACTTACACTCAGGTCTCATTCTGGTACTTTCAACGTGGCTACACTTAACTGAGTATGTTCACAGCTTAATTTCTGCACAATAGTTGCACACTCTGCTGCTGTAAAAATGAATCAGTCAAGGCTCCCCACACTCACTCAGCTGGCTTCATCACAAACTCATCTCACATCTCTCTGCCGGGTTTCAGCTCTTCCTCATATTCCAAGCACTCCTTCTTTACAGCCTTTCCCAAGCCAATAAGCCCATGCTGTGAGCTCAGTCTTTCTTCTTTTGAGCATGTCCTACCCCACAATTATAGCTTAAGAAACTATAAGAACTTAAGAACTATGTGTCTGGTGATAATATGACAATGCGTTAATAAATTATCTTCTTTAGTAAGTGAGAATCTGAAGTCTTTATGCAAGATGTGCGAATCAAGAAAGCACTGTATATATGCAGCCTGTAGTTGCCTGTGGCTGCAGAAGTTCAGTCTTCTAGGAGGATTCAATTCTTCCTTATCAGAAACCCAACATAAAATCACAGTGCAGTCATAAGTCCTCAAAATAGGACTTGTTTTGAGTGCGAGAGAGCAAAAGAAGAGAGCAGCAGGCTACCTGGATTTTGCCTACAATGAAGACCTCCAACTAAAAGCTCCTAAATTCTTGTGTTCCTACAGACGTTGATGACAAATGCTATCTAAAGATGGAGACAGATGGTAAATAGAAAGAGTGAATTAGGCTGTCATTAAAAGCAATGGGCTATTCTTGAGGGGCAGAAAGAAACTGTGGAAGATTTAATGGTGGGCAAGATAAACTGCTCGGGTCAAAGAGAGCAGGGTGAGGAGAACGCCTAGGTTAGGGGTCCTTAACCAGATTTGAAGCCTGGGGAGGGATAGCGTGTTGAAGACAGTTGCGAGGAAGGTCTTAGATAAAAAAAGGAAAAGATAAACATTTTCATCTTGTTCAATGTGCTCGGGGGGGGTCCGAGTGGAATCTGTATGCATGTGTCTAGCACAGCACTGGATCAGTAAAGTAACAATACTTAGTCCTACAAGAGGACTCCATGGAGAACGCTATAAGCGATGCAACCAATAGGCAGCGGGTCACCCTCATCATCAATGCTGAAGTTAAGGTAAGACCTAAGGATGCTCAAGTGCCTCGCATCGGATCTCCAAGGACATTGTCCAGATCCATCTAAGGAATTTCCCAGAGCTCTATAAAAAGGTGACAGCCACAAAAGACATTGCCAGGTGTTATGCCCAAGGAGCACACGGACCCTGCATCCAGTCAATAAGCAATGAAATAATCACATCCGCTTTTTGGGAGAAGACAAAAAGAAATGTGGTCATGACCACTTGTGCTTACTGCAAAGCTGGAGGAACAGCATTAAGCCCACCAGCCTGGCCAAACTCCAACTTGAAGAGCGCCTACCTCCGTTCCCCTGGGATGCATGGAGCTCTCCCTAACTGTTCCTGGTCTTGCCAGTGCTTTCATCCTGGAGACAGCTGAATTTCAATAGGGGAGAAAACATTTCTGGCTATTCAGGTTTGTGAAATGCTTTGCAAAAGAAGGCCCTGTTTAAATAACTGGGCCGTCGGGGTGGCACCCATGAAAGAGGGAGAATGTCGCCACTCCTTTTCTGAACCGCGAATGCTACTCTTTGGGAAGTCTGCAGGTGCGTAAGTGGTGTGCCCCGCATTAGGCATGTAACAAGGTCAAGTCTGAAGAGAAATGGGGGTGAAGGCTCACGTGCACACTCCATTTAGATAACCCTGTGCCCAAAGGTGACACACAGCCGTGTATCAGATGTCAGCTGTCCACCAGTCAGGTGCCTATTGACTTGCAATCTTAAATGGTTAAACCATAAAAAACCACTGCTTGAGCCCAGGCGGTGGGATAGTTCCTCTGTATTGCACAGCAAAAAGAATACAATAGGACAGCACAGGTCAGAATAACATCAAACATTCAAATCCCCAAGAAGGTCAGGGTCAAGTTTTTCCAAACTGCAGGCCTCAATTAAAATGAAGGTTATGACTTCAACAGATGGGCTCCATTTAGTGATATCCCAGCTAATACTGAGGCTCAGTGCAGTTAAAAAAAAAAAAGTTAAAAATCTGGTTTTGGCAATTTTAAAAGAAGATGGCAACAAACCTGCATTTTAAAATTTTCCTCCACTGTAGGTCTGATATAATTCTGCATCCAAAAATGAGCGTCTCAAAGTAGTTCATTTTCTAAAAATAGAGATCTACTTCAACTTGCAAAAATGCAAATCTTTTCCAAAAAACAAAAACCAAGATCTTGATCTAAAAGAGGATAAGTTAAGGTGGGAAGGACTTTAGCACCAGAGGATGCAGAAGCAGGGGGCCAACTAGTTTCATTGTTCTAAAGGGGACCTCAGCTGTCACAGCTTTGGAAAATGCTGATGTATAATATAACCTTAATTAGTTTTCCAGTAGTAGTAGGAAAAAGAAATGGCCAGTTCCAAAAAGGATCTTAGCTCTATGTGAGCCTGTATTTCTAATGTTTCATCATCAGGTTGTACAATGAAATGCACTGGTAGGTACTCAAGTGACATCCAATTGAAGAAAAAAAAAAACACATTAAAGCACAGTAACAAAAACAGGGAAAGTCACCTGTAACAAATATCTTGCTTCAACACAGATCAGGCCTCCTCCACTTGGCTCACAACAGAAACAGTTCCTCTGACTTCCAGAGGACTACTGGCCTTTAATCTTTACCTGGCCTCAACCACATCCTGACAATCTGAACATGAAACATATTTTCTTAAGCATGGCACTGCCCAGCTAGGTTGTGCGAGTGACAAAGGATTCACCCTGATTCACCCCGATATAAAAACCACATGCAATCCAACAAGCTCATCTCCCATCGTTTCACAGCTCTAGTAAGGTGTACAACTTTTCCTAACTCAAGCCCTATTGCTAGCCAGTTGAATACTCTGAGAACTTGCTACTTCTTTCAACCAATAAATAAAGGCACACAATGCAAAGAGAAGGCAACATTCATTTTCTCCTTTGGTTCATGAAGGTCAATCGTGCCACCTGGCATACTGGAACAGGTTGTGCATGCTTGTGTTCAGACACCGATGCCCAAATGGATTGCACGGTATCCCTGTCCACTTGGAAGAGCCCTGTCCACTTGGAATAGCGGTAACCAATATACTGACACCATGCCCCAGTCCTATATTTTCCACGCCCAGCGTGCACGTGTGACACTGGCTCATTACACATGTCAATGCAGGATGCTGAACTCCCCCCTGGCCCATCTTAGTAAGGCATTAATCAGAATCCATCTGTTTCCTCTTCATCCCACACAACATCATTACAACTGAACCAAAGATTACAGGATTCTCATCTTGGGTCTCTCCCCCCACCCCTCCCAACCTCCCATACCAGTTTTGGTGTTTTCCTAACCGAATGAATAAAGCTGCTTCATTTAAGTGAGATTAGAAACAATCTTCCTTCCTGCAGGGAAAGACATAATGACCATGAGCAGAGGGGCCAAAGGCTGCTTTCTGGTGTAAATCCAGAGAACCCCCACTGAAGCAAATAGAGTTCATTTGGATTGACTCTGGAGCCACTAGGAGCAGACTCTGGACTTTGGTCTTTAAATCTGTGCTTCTGGTGGCTGAAATCCAGGTCAGAGAAGGGAGATGGAGATTGATGCAAACTGATGATCATCTTACCCAGACTTGCACTCACTGGGACTCCCATCCCTCCCTGGGATCTGTAGGTACTGTTATACTAATAGTGCTCTCCATGCATGCAACTCTTAAATAGTCATACCTGGTTACCAAAGGTTTTTCTAAATAGTCTTGACATAGCCCTTTCCTGGATTTAGCATATTGCACAGGGCTCTGTGCTTCTTGCCTGTCCATCCTTTTCCTGGTGGCAGCAAGTGCAAGGCACAAGCAGCAGTATGAGGTCCCATTTCCTCTCCAGAAGTGGCAAAGACCACCCTCTGCCCCAAGCCTGCATGGAGTAGCAGATCTGAGGTTTAAGTCCCCGTTCAGATGCCTGGTGGGATTCAAACCTCTCAACAGTGTTGTTCCCAGACTCTGGCAGATATTCTGTCAGCACGCAAGAGCCACATGTACAGTCATGAGGCCTGGAGACTTACTTTTTCAACAAGAGCTGAGGTCCCGCTGTAATCACAGGACTCCAGGAGCTGGGTCTATGCAGTGCATGCCTTCAGTCCAGCCCTGGTGCATCTATACGGTGTACACTACATGCAGTTCTGGATGTCTCATTGCCTGAAAGATGTGGACATGAGAGATGTCAATATAAAAAAAGAGATGAAACTTATACAAAATTAATTAGAGCTATTTATAGACATTTCAAATGAAATAGAAAAATTATCTGTCTATGGGACCATCTATGAGAATCTCCATCCTTGGAAGTTTTCAAGAGCAGGCTGGACAGACACTTGGCTGGGGTGGTTTTAGTCAGGGATGAGCCTGCCTTGCTCAGCTGGACTGGATGACCCTGTGAGGTCCCTTCCAGTCCTACTTTCCTATGATCCTATCATATATCATGGCCAATGTATGCCAGCACCTATTAACCATTCTTTGATATCTTCTCTATCAAGGGCTGAGCTGTGCTATAAAGGCAGAGCATACAGCTGTGCAATTTTAGGTTTCTGTCAAGGTTTTCCTATCACTGTAGTATCCAGATGCCTTTCTCAAGAAGAGCAAGACTGAAAACTATTTGCTCCAGTTATCTTGGGACTGTGGGGGTAAGGGGTAGTAAAAGTTATACTTAATTAATCTGGTTTTGATGATTTTTGTTTCATAGCCATATTGCTTTTGTTTGTTATTCATATTTACATCACAGGCAGAGTACAGTGGCTCCCATATCCAAGTTTGCTAAATGCTCTCCATTAAAATCTTCTGCTATAAATAATACAAGCAACCCCACATTATACAATGCACATACCTATCCATACACTTACAGCCAATCATTGCCAGAAAAGTAACTAGTGATTGTGGATATTCATCTTAAGACACCTTAGATGTGACTAATGTTCAAAAACTGGGTTTTGAACATCATGTCCTATTATGTGGCCAGGAGTTGAAACCCCAGAATTGAGGTATTCAAGCTCAAAAAATTGGGTTTTGAACATTGTGTCCTATTATGTGGCCAGGAGGTGAAACCCCAGAATTGAGGTATTCAAGCTCAAACAACTGGGTTTCGAACATCATGTCTTATTATGTGGCCAGGAGTTGAAACCCCAGAATTGAGGTATTCAAGCTAACTATTCACTTCTGAAATCTTGGACACGGACAAACATAAATATGAAACGTCTGATTTGTACTTGTGTCTTGTGTCTTTATGTTACAGAACCCATGGGGATTTTCAAAAGGCAGCTGGGTGAATTAGAAGTACAAATCCTACTGATGCACTGCACACTACATTTCTGTTATCTGCATTCACCACATTTAGCAACAAGAGTTAATTTATTAGAAAAGGGTAAAGAAGAAAAGATATAGCCCAAGATTTCTGGAAGGGGTTGACAGAAAGACGATTCTTTCATGTGCCACAAGTGAAGATCGGGTGCTATGACACAGCATGAAAAGTAAGGATTTCCACACAACAGGAATTTAAGCAGAGGTGTATACTGTATGCAACCCACTCTATGTGGCTGTGATTTAAACACAGATGAACAGCTAGCTGGTAGGCCAATCAGTTACATGAATCCTATTCTTCTCATTTAACCACTTCTCAAGGACGTCTCTACCTTTGGGCTGGTGACACCAGCACAGAACAAAACAGATTATTTTTTAAAGTAAATGCAGCTGAGAAACACCTGCTTTCAATCTGCAAACTGCTCACAAGAGCCATGGGTTGGTCTCAGCTGGTGCTCAGGAGGGTTGCTATGAGAGAGGAGGGGTCTTTGCCCCCGGGCACCTTTTGTTTGATGGGCACCAAACTTCTTTTCACCTACATTAGTTGCAGAGCCCTCCCATCGGATTTATTGGACCCTGCTCAAGCTGCGTACCCGCAAAAGGGCACATGCTCACAGCAAGGCAGCACCCTGCCCCTCGCTTACTCAGACTGCCTCAGGATTTATGGCCCATCTCAAGGAAAATCATAGAAAATGAGGGCTGGAAGGGAGCTCAGGAGGTCGCATCTAGCCCACCCCCCTGCTCAAACCAAGCCCATCCCCAAATAGATCATGCCAGCCAAGGCTTTGTCTAGCTGGGTCTTAAAATCCATGCACACCATCATTGCTGCCTCCCCTCGAGCCACGATTGCTAGTGTTTAAACCACTGGAAAGGTTCAGCCTCCTCACAGACTTCCATTCTCCTCCCAGCATCTCCAATACCCCCTTCCTCCGGTTCATTGCCAAAAGGGTTTTCCAAGACAGGAATGAAGGACTGAATTATTCACAGACCCCAGATTGAGACAGGGACGCTCAGAGTGAACTTTCAGAACAAAAAAAACATTTCCCAGAAGATCTAACCTAGCTGCTCAAAACATAAAGGTTATTATGCAGAGTCCTGAAGGAGAGAATTGTTTTAGTACCTTCCTTCAGTATCTAAAATGATACAGTAAGCCATTACTGGCTACGGATATAACATATCCAGAGTGTACTGCTCTATAGATCTAAGCATTTGTGGAAAGTTTGCAAAGCCATTGTTACCCATTTTTGCACATTAAAACCCACTAAGAGATTTATTTACAACATTAAATCATTTCTTTGCTCTCTGGCTGGATTTTTAACTATTAAAATATTCATCACACACTCCAAGAACCTTAATGCCGAGTGGGTTTTTGTTTTTTTTTAACAACCTTTTAAAGGAATAGCTTCTTTAAAATACCTTCAAATGAAGATATCAGTCTTAAAGAGGCTGAAAAGAAAAGAGCTCATTGTAAAACACCTAGGAGACAAACAACACATTAATCACTGAAGAGACCGATCAGAGATCCACTCATTAAAAATGGATATTTATCGCAGCTATAGCAATCAGGAAGACTGTGCACAAGTAACTGCTCAGCATGGAAAGAGAGAACTTTTTTTTCCAGTATTAAAAGTGCAAGCTTTGCAAGCTGGCAAGGGTAGGCACGATTTCCCAGCATCAGGAACCCTAAAAAACTAGCTGGTGTGAGAGCTATGCCTTTGCCAAACTCCCCTTAAACTTGCCCTCACTGCATGCAGTATTTCCGTGGGCATCTGACAATGCAAAGAGCTGGCACCCAAATCCTGGTCTCTTTTGAACATCTAGCTCAACTGTTAGCAGAGCACTTTGTGACTGCTAAATGAGGGGCCGCAGCAGCAATGGCAGAAATGACATTTCCAGGCCCAAAACGATGAGCCCCACCAACTGGCCCTGCCTCAGCTGGCAGGAGGCACGATGAATGCACCCTGGCATTGGCAGGGTCCTTTAAGGAGGGAGGGAACCTCTTCAGATGCTTTCTGGGCAAGAGCAATGAGAGCACAACTTAGAAAAAAAGCTCTTCTATCTCCCTAAATCCTTCTCGGGTTGTTTGAGCATGTTGGCGTGGCATCCGCCCAAGTCACAGCCGCATGGATGGTATTTAAGACCTGCTTTGGCTATTAGTGGATTGTCACAGTTGGGGGTGACCATCACACAGCCATAACATGCCCCCTCTGCATCACATTACCCTGTGATGGTGAAGGGGACATGGGATATGGGCCAGGTCTTTAGCTCTGGGGGTAAAGGCTTCGAGTTGAGCCTTAGAAGGCCTGCTCTCTTCTCGGCGTCAGGAGCACCACGTGCCATGGCAGCAGGGCTTTGGCACTGGCAGAGGTGTGCTGCTTGGATCTGTTTCAAGGTCATTTGCATCATCACAGATCCTCACAAGAGGTGGGAGGCTCCAGACCAGCTATGAACTGACTGCCCAGAGGAGTTTTCCATCTATTGACTCCTCTGTGAAATCCTATGACATATGAACTTTCATTTCTACCCAGGAGAACTTTTACAATCTTTTCTCCAATGCCTGATGAAGGGGGTTTGTGCCTGAAAGTTTGCAATTGCAATTAAAGTTTGGGGGTTTTTGGCAAAAATCTTGCTGGTCTAATAAAAGATATCATCTCCACTATGAGCACCGATTACCTTACGGATGCTACCACCACTATGGAGCGTCTCTGCTGCAGCAACGTCACCAGGAAGCTGGCCTACGTGCTAGCCTTTCGCTGCTCAGCCAGAACATCTCTGCTGACCCTGATGAAAACCAGCAAACCCTGTCTGAGAGCGAGTCCCAGGGATTATATTTTCCTCCCATCAGCCAAGATCAAAACCCAGACTTTCTGTCGTCCTGTAACATGCCTGGGATGAATAAGTCAGGAACCCTGCTGTCGTAAGAAAGTTCTTGAGAAAGAAGCAAAGACTTAGACATCACCATATTTGGGGCCCACCCAGTCAAAGGAGCTTCCACACCTGGTGCAATGAAATTTTTCATTCTGGAAACCCGCGCACGTGGTTAAAATAGTTTGACGGGTGCAACCACTAACTCGCGCCATTCCCTCCTCTCTGAAAAACGAGTTTCTTTGGCTTCAAGAACGTTTCTGTTCATCTGAAGAGAAGCCAATACGTCTTGGCCAAATGCTCGCCTCTTTTTACACACTGAGCCAAATTCATTTCCCGAAACGTGGAAATGTGGTTTATTACATCGAGTTGTACACACACGGCGTCTTCCACCTCTTTATATCACTGGTAACTTGTACAAGCAAAGTGACGCTTCCACCTTTCTCCTCTCTCGTTTCTATTTCAGGAGGAGGAAGACTCAAAGGAGGAGGTCAGAAGCTAAAAAGGATGAGTATCACATACTTCTCTAAGTGTTTGTATGGGACAAGGCTAGGAAACAGTTCTGAAAAATTTCATACAACCTTGTATTTTACGGCCGTGTCAATATTTAAGGAAAGGGGCATTTTTTGCATATTTTTGTTCTCTCCATACTTAAACGTAAATAGAGGAGACCCCCCAGGACAGGGGGTTGGACTTAATGACCTACTGAGGTCCCTTCTGACCCTAACATCTATGAACCTATGAGAGATCTCCTCTAGTTATTTTGTACAGTTGTAATTTCAAAGTTATGTATATTATGTGCGTTAGTCTCAAATGATTCTCCCATATGGAAACGTCATCTGTTCCATTCTAGGCATTGCGTTCAATGAAAAAGCAGCAGCAAAGCTTTATATGTAAGGAATCTATCACGGCTTTCTTGTAGGCATGAAACTTTGTACTAAATATCCAATAATATTTAAAGGATCAAGGGAATGTGCGAAAAAAGGTGTTTTTATTGCCTGCAATAAAGAGATATGCTTGTTCTTGAAGTCACTGGATTTTCCAAGCCAACTTTTCCAACCCCTAAGTAGCCATGCTGTTCATAGATTGTAAGGCTGGCAGGGACCTTGGAAGACCATCGGGTCTAGCCTCCTGTACCAGGCTGTGATAGGTCTTCTTTTATTATTTTAAATATATTACATGTTATTCAAAGAATTTAACATGGTCATTAAACAATGGCTGGTTGCTTCGAAAAATATATATTTTTCCTTTTTATTTAATTTGTATCTGACACCAAATTAGCCAAAACTAAATTCCAAATCCAAGAGAGTCCAGACCCATAAGTGGCCCTACTACTAGCAAACATCCTCCACCCACAGATGGGGCTTCAGATGTTTCCAAAACCTTTGGCGGGCATCCTACTTGCAGGCCTAAACCCAGAGGTTTGGGGTTCAGATGCCCCCTGAGTTTTGCTTGCTCTCAGCCATCAGACCCTCGGAGCAAGCAAGGGAGGAGACATATTTTTCATTGCCCCTTTTATTTTCTATGAATTCTTTGATTTTCTTTTAGTGTTGGTCGTCACACTAGA